AAGAATTCCTTCAGGGGCTGTTTGTTACTGCACCAGGGAGAGAGATAAGGGTCTTGCTGGGCCCCACTCATGAGCAATTGCTAGGCACAGTGTCCTTGGGCTAGAGAGAAACATGGTCTTGGAATTGGGGTCCCAGGACAAGCAGCCAAGCACCCCATCAGATCTTCCATGTACACAGAAAAAAAAACACAAATCACCTGATTTGGTACTTGAATCTCTTCACTTCTCCCTCCTGCATTTTGCTGGTTCCTCCTCCTCCTGGAGGGCCTCCAGGCACAAGCCCAGTTGTGGACTCTTCTCCATCCTGTTTCTGTCTCAGTCTTGCCTCCTGCTGTACTTTTGCTCAGTCTGCCCCTCAATGCCTGGAGTAGAACTCTCATAACCATTAGCGTAAAAGTGGAACCCAATGCTTTGGGTTTCCTTGGAAGTTCTCACAGGCCAGTGGTGGAAGGGATTTGTGTTCATCCATAGGCTGATCAAGAAGTGATCAGTGTGGCAGTGTTGCAGGTGGAACCCCCCCCCCCCAGGTCAGGAAGACCTGGGTTCAACTGTGACTTCAGACACTTCCTAGCTCTGTGACCCCGGCCAAGTCACTTCACCCTGCTGGCCTAAGTTTCCTCATCTGTAAAATGAGCTGGAGCAAAAAATGGCAAGTCATTCTGATGCAGTTTAGGGGTTCAGGGGTGCTGGGACCTCAATATCACAAAACGCGGATCCTGCCTGAAAGAATTCCACCCAGGCCTTCTTTCAGCCAAAGACAAGGTTTATGAGAACATCTGTCATATTGGGCAGACTCTTAAGGAGTCTGAACATTAGTAAGCTGTTGGCTAGATTTTAGGAATCTGAGCAGTGGCTGGATTATAAGAATCTCAGCATCTTAATGGAGACAAGATGGACCTTACATACAGAAAGCCTGTAGGAGGGACCTAGGAGTGGCCAAGTAGTCTATGAGGTAATAGAACTCCAGGGACCGGGACCACAGGCCCAGGGAGAAAGAAGTGGCCTGGGGGCCACAGGGAGGGCCACAAAGGCCAATGGATGGGATTAGAGCCTCAGGGGAATGCCAGATTTGGCCATGCGGGAAAGTCCAGGGTTTCTCCTTTCTGGGCCCAGATCCCAACCCCATCAGCAAGAGGAGTCGGCCAAGACTGAAACACGAGTGAGCACCAACAGCCCGGGCTCATCCAGAGGCCCAAGAAGGGTGCCCGAGTTGGCGGTGTGAACGAACTCCCACCCCTCCTCCCCACTTGCCCATCACTCAGGTCTCCTGGGTCCCAGCAAGCCAGCTGCCCTCTCCGGCCTCCCCAATGTCTCGTGGGCCCGCTTTGCTGTGACCTGGGCCTCCAAGGCCTCGTGCGCCCCAGGAGGGGAGTGGACAACGTGGGAAGGTGGGAAAAGGCCTTTGGGATCACAGCCCCAAGAGCAAGCCAAACCCCAGGGAATGCCAAAGCACACCCAAGCTTCCCGCCCCACCCGGGGGTGGGGGGGGGATCCCACGGCCGGCTCCCAGGCAGCCACTGAACTCCGGCAGTGCGCCTACGCCTGCACCCCCGGCCCCGGCCCCCCCACCCCAGCCCCCGCCCCCACCCCCCGGCCCCCGCCCCCGCCCCCCCCGGCCGGCCCCCGCCCCCCCCGGCCCCCCCGCCTCGGCCCTCGGCCCCCCCACCCCGTGCCCCGGCCCCGGCCCCGGCCCCGGCTCCCTCTCCGGCCCACAACCCGGAACCTTCGCCCAAGCGAGCCTCCCGCCTCGTCCCCAGGCAGTGCGCCTGCGCGCCGCCGGGGCCGCAGAGCGGAGGCCGGGGAGCTGGCGGGCCTCGGAGATCGCACTGAGTCTGCGCACGCGCGCCTGCCCGGGGCCTGGGAGGCCTGGGAGGCCTGGAAGAACCGGAAGCGGAAGTGAGTCCGAGGACAACTCTCGCTCGGAGAGGTTCCCGTTGTTGTCTCGAAGGAGTCTCGAGATCCCGGCGCCGCCATGGTGAGAACGAGGGGCGGAGCCGGCCCGGGGCAATCCCGGGGGGCGGCCCGGGGGAGGAGGCCGAGCGGGTCCGGGACGAGCTCGGGGGCCTTCCTACAGGACGAGGTGGCTGGGGGCCCCACTTGGGTGGCTTTGGGCGCCGTGTGGGGAGGGAGGGCCACCCTGGGGAGGACGGAGGGGGAGGGGCGGGAGCTGCGGCTTCTCTTGGCTTCTTCCCTCAGGTCTGGGGGGGGGGCTGCCGCGGAGAGGGGCGGGGCGGGGCGGCGCGGAGGGCAGGGCGGGCGGGGTGGGGTGGGGGGCGCCGCTGCCGCCATCGCCATCGCCATCGCCATCGCCATCGCCCGCGCCGCCGCCGCCGCCGCCGCCGCCGCCGCCAGCAGCAGCTCCGGCCCTGGCCCCGGCCTCGCGATAGTCGTCACCGCCGCCGCCGATCCCCCCAGCCCCCCAGCAAAGAGGCTAGGAGAGGCCCCCGAGCGGAAGGTCGTAGAGTTTAGGAGCCAAGGCCCTTGGGGAAGGCGGGCCTGGAGGCCTCCCTGGAGGAGAAGGAAGGAAGAGACAGTGACTGGGAGAGCCTAGGGACAGGACACCCTATCGGGCTTCCCGCAGGAAGAAGAGGTTGGGGGGAGCAGTTAAAGTCACCCCGAAGGGTTTCCCATCGGTAGAAGAGGAAGAAGCTGAAGGGGAAGGTCTGAGGTCACCGCTGGGGGACGCCCGGGAGGAGGTGGCTGGATTGCTGGGAGCTGCTTAGAGGAGGTGGGGGCGGGGAAGAGATTTCCGGAGGAGGTTCGGGGGCAGCCCCGGGTGCGAGCCCTTAGGTACGAGGTGGGAAGTGGTTCCAACTGGGGGCGGGGGGGGGGGGGGGGGAGTCCTGCAGGAGAAGGGAGATCTGAGGAGGGAAGACGGAGTCAGCCCTGGGGGGGGGGTCAGGGCCGAACCTGGGGAGGAGGGATAAGGTTCATTTGGCAGACTTTCAGGAGAAGGAAGAAGGGAAGGCGTCTGGGAAATGGGGGCGCGGGCAGAGTTCCTCAGAGGGAGAGGGGTGAGTGATTCCCTCTGCTTTCGTGACCTTACAGGAGAGTGAGTTTTCAGACCCGGAAGCTGGGGCTGCTGGAGGGGAAGAATCCAAGTCTGAGAATGGGGAGAATGCACCCATTTACTGTGTTTGCCGCAAGCCTGATATCAACTGCTTCATGATGTGAGAGCAGATGGATGTGGGTGGGCGAGAGGGAGCTTAGTTGGGCTCTGAGTCTGGGCCACAAGGAAGGTGGAGATAGGGGCTCTCTAGAGGAAGAGGAGTCAGGTAGAGCTGAGGTCCTGGCGTCCTCAGGAGGGCTCCCCCAGGAAGGGTAACAGGGCTCAGGAAGGAGCTGGGCTCCCTAAAAGAGGATGACTGAGTCAGAGCTGGAATTCTGGCCTCATCCTGTTAGACTCTTGTGGGGGAAGAGCAGCTCAGCAGAGTGTGGCAGCGGCGCCAAGGTCCTCCCTCAGGGAGCAGGTCTTGGTTTGGAGGGGGAGGGGGCAGGAGGATGGGGGGACAACACGGGCCTCCCTGCTTTCCGAGCCTCAACCATATCTCACAGTTTCCTTCTGTCCCTTATGCAGCGGCTGTGACAATTGCAATGAGTGGTTTCATGGTGACTGCATCAAGATCACAGAGAAGATGGCAAAGGCCATCAGAGAGTGGTACTGCCTGCAGTGCCGGGGTGGGTCTTGGGGGGGGGGGATGGAGCCTGGGGATGACTGGGGGGGGGGCATTTGGGGAGATCTTGGCTATCAGCAGAGCAGTACCCTCAATCTGTGCTCATTTCCTGCACAGAAAAGGACCCAAAGCTGGAGATCCGATACCGACACAAAAAACCATGCCGTGAGCGTGACGGGGAACCCGAGGCTGAGCCCAGGGATGATGCGGCCACCCCACGGAGGAAGGCTGCCTCAGATCTCCTCGTAGAGCCTGTGGGAAGTGGGCCCATGGCCATCCCCAAGGGCTTCACCTCTCCCCACAAAGCCCCGCCTCCGTCAGGACCTGGGCCTGCGCGAGAGGTATCTAACCAGGTGAGTTGGAGGATCTAGGGCTTTTACCAGGAGGAGGGAACTTTGAGTTGGGAAATAACGTGGGGCCCAGGGTGTCAGGCTATTGATGAAGATAAAGGGGCTTCTTAGAACACTGCTGAGCCCAGGAGTGGCTCTCCCCATCTTCTCTCCTTCCATACTCCATCCCCCCAATAGCAAATCAAACGGTCAGCTCGGATGTGTGGGGAGTGTGAGGCCTGCCGAAGGACTGAGGATTGTGGCCACTGTGACTTCTGCCGTGACATGAAGAAATTTGGGGGGCCCAACAAAATCCGCCAGAAATGCCGGCTGCGGCAGTGCCAGCTCCGAGCCCGGGTGAGAGAGCACGAGGTGACTCTGGAATGTTTGGGCCCAGTCCCCACCTAACTGGAACTCCCCTTCACCTCCTGTGTTCTTGTTTTCTCTATGTATAGGAATCCTATAAGTATTTCCCTTCCTCGGTGAGTCTGGCGTCAGCTGTGGTGAGTGTTGGGGTTAGAACTGGAGCACATTCGGCTTCTTTGGGGTACTGCCCTCACGAGAGCCCCAAGTCCAGGAAACGTGACAGGGAGGGGCACCTTGGCCAATTTGGGGGGCAGTTGCTGGAATGGAGATACTATTGCTAATTTTGAACCATTCTTTGTCCTCTATTTGCTTCCCTCTTCCCCGTAGTATATTGGAAGGAGCCGTGAGAGAGTATCAGGAATGTCCAGTTCTTCACTGTCTGATCTGTGACCAGGCCCTTCCTCCTCTCTGGGCCTCACCTTGCTCCTGTTAAGGGCATCGATGCTCAGGATTGCCTCCTGGCTCTGCGATCTAATGGTTCTGCTCACCTGCTATACCTGTTGCTTCCTCCACAGCAGAAACTTCTCCGGGCACGGGAGGACCATTTCCAGATGTTAAAGGAGCCGCCAGAGGCTGTGGCCACACCCGAGGCACTCTCTGATGAGGATCTGCCTTTGGACCCTGAGCTCTATCAGGATTTCTGTGCTGGCGCCTTTGATGACCATACCTTGGTGAGGGGGCGGGGTCCCTGTTCCTTCTTATACCCCTCTGGGCCTTGTGCTCCCTAGTTAGGTCCCTTATCTGTTTTCTCTGCCGCAAGCCATCGAGTGTCTTCTCTAGCATGAGTGCCGAAGGAAAGAGACGGCATGGGATCTGGACTGGGTGCTAGATTCAGGGTCTGAGGATGTGGGTTGGAATCTGGGCTCTGCTACTCACCACCTAGGGGTCTTGGGGCAGGTGGTTTTACCTGTGTGCATTCCCCCTGTCCCAAATGCTAGTGTTGGGTTTGTGTGGCCTCAAAGGTCTGTTTTACCTCTAAATCTAGGATTTTATGTGTTCAAGGGTCCCGAGAGAAAGAGGACACCCTTTTTTTCCCCCCGTGGCGTGGAGCCATGATGGTCTAACCGTAGTGGTTAGACAGTCTTGATGTCAGTGGTCAGACCTCACATTCCCCAAAGGGCCAGTCAGTGCCTTTCTGCCATCTCCTTCTTAACCCAGTCAGAATAGAGGGGTGATGGGCTCAGTGGCCTATACCTTCCTGCCCCCAGCCATGGTTGAGTGACCCTGAGGATGCTCCTTTCCTGGACCCAGCACTTAGGAAACGTGCAGTGAAAGTAAAACATGTCAAGCGGCGGGAGAAGAAGTCAGAGAAGAAGGTGAGTAGCAGGAGCGGTGGTAGTGGCGGGCAGTGGGGAGCTGCACAGGAGGCTCACTGCCTTCCCCCTTCTGCCCCAGAAGGAGGAGAAGTATAAGCGTCACCGGCAGAAGCAAAGGCACAAGGATAAGTGGAAGCACACTGAACGCCCAGATGCCAAGGACCCGGCCTCCTTGCCCCAGTGCCTGGGCCCTAGCTGTGTCCAGCCTGCCCAGCCAGGATCCAAGTACTGCTCTGATGACTGTGGCATGAAGCTGGCTGCCAAGTGAGGATGCCATCCTCCCCCCCCCCCCCCGCCCCATCTCTTGCCCACACCACATAAGGCCTAGCTCCTTCCTTAATTCTGTCCCACTCCCACTCTTCCACTGGCAGAAAGCTGCTGTGGCCCCTGGGGAGGGACTCCAGAGACCAAATGCCCTCTGGGGTCCCTTGCCATGCGCGTCTTGCCCTCTTACCCTGGCAGTCGCATCTATGAGATCCTACCCCAGCGAATCCAGCAGTGGCAGCAAAGCCCGTGTATCGCAGAAGAACACGGAAAGAAGCTTCTGGAGCGGATCCGAAGGGAGCAGCAGGGAGCTCGAATGCGCCTGCAGGACATGGAACGCCGCTTTCACGAGTTGGAGGCTGTCATCCTCAGAGCCAAGCAACAGGTGGTTCGAGAAGACGAGGAGGTGAGAGGAGGCCAGCCAGCAGGGAGCCCCCGGGAAGCTGGGGGGGGGGGGGTCTCAGCCTCACTGTGTGGCTGCCTGTCTCCTTGTCTACAGAGCAACGAGGGAGACAGCGAGGACACAGACCTGCAGATCTTCTGCGTCTCCTGTGGCCACCCTATCAACCCCAAGGTGGCATTGAGGCACATGGAGCGTTGCTATGCCAAGGTGCCCCACCCCTCAGCAATTTGGAGAGGTGCCGGGGAAGATGAGTGTTGGTCCTTCTTGGCCTTAGGAGTGCAGGCATCAGCTGGGGGTGGGGCATGGGCAGATGGGCAGGAGAGGAGGGTTGATCCTTGGAGTCTGGGAAGACGGGGGGACTCAGCTGTCCATATCCTTTGGAGGGCACTGTGCAGGTTGGTTTGG